TTTATATCCAACCTGGCTGCCCAACTCCACCCTCAGGTCCCAGCCACCCTCCCCTTGGTGGTGATGGGATTTGTCTTTCCCAATGTCCTGATGGCTTTAGTCTGGAGTGGGGGTGGAGTCCACAAAGCCTGTATGAGATTATCTCAGGACATCCTTTCCCCCTAACAATTCCCCCCTTTCACTTTTTGCCACCATTTCCATGGTGATGAAGATCAAACATATGGATTCTGGGATACAGTCTCAGATGAAAATTTTCCAGGGTTCCAGTCTGAAAGAAAACGAATCCCTCCAGGTAGTGTCCATTGTGGAAAGCAAAAGTCCTCCATTCCTGGAAAAACAGTTCATCAGTCCCAGCCAAAAGAAAATATCTGGAGGCATTAGCCAGAACAAGACAGCAGATATGTCAAAAATCACAGGAAAAAAAAATTTTAAAATGGTGCAACTTATGTAAAGACAAATTTTCTCAACCTTGATCCCAAATTTTTTAAAACAGCATAGCAAAAGTTTGCAAACCAAATATACTTTTAAACCATATTGTCTATTTTTGTATAAAATCACAGGGCAGAATAACTAAGCAGCAATTTTTAGCTGGCTCCGTTGGAATACTCCATATAGGATTCAGAGCGAACTGTTGACATCCGGTCCGTGTAGGCTTCTGAAAGAAGTTGGTCTCATCAGACTCCACCTGGGCTTTCCTCTTCTCGAGGGTACCAGGGACTTTTTGTTGGCCGGGTTGTCCAGTCCTGCCAATGGAGGCAAGCTTCCTCACCTTCTTTGGAGGTCTTTGGAACCCTACAAACAAGGCAAACAGGTTCTCCTCTTCTTGGTTCAGCTCTGTTTTAACTTTTTGGAAGAGCTCCACACAAAGCCACACAATGAAACTTATGTCCAATTTTTTTCAGTTTAAACAAAATCCCTATGGAAGTTATGCAAAAACAGACTCTGAGATAAGTAGTAAAAGATTACTACCACTATTTTTATGCCGTGTTGGTATCAAGGGGAGAGAAAATGCAAACACAAGTTAGCTTTGTTGGAAAAAAAAATTACAACCTTGCTGCAGATCCTGGTCACCAAAACAAGAAAACTTTGTGGATTTAGAGCAAAATGCAAAAAAATCATCAGTATTATTATGTCAAGGAAAACTTAGTAAATTTCCCCCTAACACCCTTAGCAGTGCATTTCAGTAAACCCATCTATTCTGCTCCCTACTTGTCTCTGGTGAGTCCTCTTACCCACTGTACCTCTAGCCTCGGCCCCTGTTCTTCTATGCAAAAATAAATAAAATCTTTTAAAAAACAAAATAATAGCATCATTCATTTTGCTTATGAATCTGTAATCTGGGGGAGGCTCAGTAAAAGTGGCTCATCTCTGTTCCATTTGCACTATAGGGATGGCTTGTAATTTAGGGACTGGAGTCACCTGCAAGCTGGTTCAGTTGTACCTGATGCATGCTGTGTTGGGCTGTCACTAGACTGTTGCCAGGACACCTTCAGGTGGCTCAACAGATAGCTTGGGCTTCCTCACAACATGGTGGCTACATTCTAAGATGAGTGTCTCAAGAGAAAATTGCCTTCTATGACTTAACGTCATAAGTCAAGCAAAATCATTTCTACTGCACTCTGTTAGAAGTAAGTCACTCAGAGAAGGAATTAACTCTATGTTTTGATGAAATAGTGTCAAAGTATTTGTGGACACGTTTATAAATCACCATAATCTTGCCAGACTTCCACACTGCTGTTTTCCACTTGATGGGTGGAGAATGGAAGCTTTATCTTGGACCCTTCCTTGGGAATCCAAAAGGAAGGTTAGACCTGGAGATATAGTTAAGGAAAAACAACTATTCAGGTTCTTGAATTATTCCCACTTGGATTTAAATCCTGGCTGTGCCATTTACCAGCTTTGTGTTCTTGGGTAGGTCACTTAATGTTGGCTAAGCCTCACTTTCACCATCTGTAAAATCACAGTACCCTCCTCATGGGATTACTGTAAGGAGTAAATGAGTTTAGAGATGAGTTACACAGACATGCATAGAACAGTGAATAGTGCAGAGTAAACCACAAGTATTAGCAATTGCTGATATGATTAACACATTTATTGGTATTTAATGAACTCAGTCTTTGGTGAGTTCTGGGTAGATGCTAGATGCTGGGATTATGAACATGAGCACAAAGGAGTTCAAAATTTAGGGAGAGATATTTTTCAAGCATGTGGGCAGAGGGTCCATGCTTTGGAGTGAGCCAGCCCTGGTTCTCATTCTGAGTACCTTAACTGTGGGACTCTAGACCAATCTTTCACTTTCCAAGTGTTATTATCCTCAGTTGAAAATGATCATAATAATTATACCTACTTTACTGGGTTCCGGTGAGAAAATCTATGTAAAAAGTTTAGCACAGTTCCTGGAACATGATGAGTACTTAATAAATGTTAATTATTACTTATATTTCTCAGGAAGTAGGCTGATAAATGGATTCATTACAGTTCAAGGTGTAGAATGCTTTATAGTCATATGTCACTGAATGATGGAGATCTTTCTGAGAGATACATCCTTAGGCGATTTCCTCCTATGAATGTCAGTGTGTCACTACACAGGCCTAGCTGGCAAAGCCTACTACACGCCTGGGCATATGTGGCATACACAGCCTGTTGGGATCACCATCACACACGTGGCCCATCCTTGAGTGGAACATCCTTAAAGGGTACCTGACTGTACTAGCTGGGGAGACAACCTGCTCCAGAAGCCCAGCAGAAGAAGAAATGATGAACTTTGCTTCCTGGCAAAGTTCTAGGAAAGCCCAGACGAGGAGGTGTTGAAACTGGACTTTGAAGACAAGTGTTTTCAAGTGGGGAATGAGGAAAGAAGCTCGGCCAAGGCATGAAGGGACAGAAGAGCTTGACATGCTTGCAGGAGTGGTAAATTCAACACGGAAGCGTAAGGAGTGTAGGATGAGGGGGTGGCTCTGAAAGGGGAGTTCAGATCAAAGCATTGGCTCGAGTGCTGGGGTGCCCCTCTCCCTGCCCTGTAACAAGAAGACTCGAGAAACTGCCATCTTTAAGCCAATGGGACTAGACAGAGTATTGAGAAATGCCAGTGGCAAGCTCTGGAGAGAGGTTTTATAGGTGGAATAGATAAACTCAAGAGTAGATTTTACAAGTGAATGGGAGGGAATCAAGGTCAGCTGCTGAGGAGTCAAGGGAGGAGGACAGCATTTGAGTGGATGGACCAAGGTTAGGGGATGTTGACCCCAAAAGCTCTGGCTCTGAATGACCTGGCCTACATCTGAGTAACTCTACGATCTTGAAATTGTCATACCATTTTGGTCTTAGTTTTCTGTCAGTTAATACTTCGGCCTCTCCTATCTGCTGCACATAGTTGTTATGAGAAAGAAAAAAGGTAGCGAGTGTGTAAGTGCTTTGAGTAAAAAAATTACTAGGCCCTATGTTATTCGGGAGGCAGGTGACTGCCTGGGATAGCTTAGCTAATGCAGTCAGGTCAGGTGGAAGGGGGGGGATACCTATTGTGGGTTGAAAATACACACAATGACCAACACTCATGCATTACAGATAACTACAGATAACTATAGCATTTCCAGGCTGGGCTGGTCTAAGGAAGGGCAACGTGACTCTCAATCCCACCACCAGTTGCTCCTCTCACTTGGCTCTGAGTGGTCCAAACGTCCAAGTCCAGAATCTTGGACGTTTCAGGGATCTGGGAAAGCATGTGAATTTGTGAGTATACGTTCATGCTGTGTATTTCTGGGGCTGAAATCCATAGTCTCCCGCACACTCTTAGAAGGATTTGTGACTGCCCCAAAGGTTAAGTGTCATTGATTTTTCTCACCAGAAATTAATAAGAATAGCCATCCTTTGGGAGGTCTGGTGGGGAAAGGGAGATTTTAATTTTAATTTTTGACTTCTCTGAAAATTGTCTGGACCCTCCAGCCATGAGCATGTATTAGTTTTATTGAGAAAACAAAAACAAAAACAGGGGTTATTTAGGTGGTGAACAAAAGCTGTTTAGATTTCATCTTTACCTTTCTTTGTATTTAGCAAACAACAAACAAACACTAATAGATGTTGTTTTTAAAACCCTGATAGCATCAGCACACACACACACATACAAATCACTCAATTAATTATATAAAGTACCACCTCTATTATGTCAGGTAAAGTGCCCACATTTCCTATAAACTAGGGCTTCAAGGCAGTAAAACTTGGCGTTTGCAGGAGACGAGGTCAAAAGAAAAAGAGAGGCAAGTATTTCAACTCAGACGCATGACAACGTGTATACGTGTCAGTCTTCACAAGTACCGTTTCTGCTCTCTCGAGAACCAGCCAAGGGCGACCCGTGGGCCTTTGATGCTTGAAGCGACCGAACGCAGCAGGACAGGGTTAAATCCACTACCCTCTCCCCACGCACTCTAGTAATTACTCTATTTTCACGTCATGTTTCCGGCTGTGTGTGTCGCGGCTCACGCACCAGCGTAAGTTCAAAGCACAGAGGAGACACCCATGTTCTTCATGCAGTCGCCAGAAACCCAGAGCAGGCGTCGGGCCCCAGAGGACCCGGCGATGCCTGGGGACCGTCTCACTGGCTGACTCCCACGTGGTAAGTGGCTCCCAACCTCGCCCCCACGTGGCCCCTACCAAAGGCCAGGAAAAGGGAGCGCAGGCAGAAGAGAGCCGCCGCATCAGGGGCATTTAAAGTGTCTTGACGTCACGCACTGCCAGGAACTCAGCTGAGTTTTCAGCAGGACATTCCGGTCATCTTCCTTCCCTCCCCCTGGCTTCCGTGCCCAGGGCCTTGGCTCTGCCCCCGCCGTCGCGGAGGGAGGAGCAGCGGGCCCTCAGAACAGCCAGCGTGGGGGCGTTCCCAGCCGGCGGATGGCCCCGCCCTTTCTCCCAGGGGCTCTCCTCATTGGTCGGTGGGTGGGGCTTCCGGAGTGCCGTCCTTGAATCAGGACCGCTGGGTGGCCCACAAAACTGGCCGTCTGATTAATTATGCAGGAGCGGGGTGTCCCGGCCGGGCGGGGGCTGGGCGGGGATTGGCTGGAGGGGCTGTAATTCAGCGGTTTCCGGAGCTGCGGCGGCGTAGACGGGGAGGGGGAGCTGGGGGTTCCGACGTCGCGGCGAAGGCAGCGAGCCGAACCGGATCCGCGACGAGCACCCCGGCGAGGCGCTCTCTCGGCGTTGGCTCGGCGAGGCCCGCGACTCGAGGGAGCCCGGCGCCCGCACCCGGCGTGAGTGCTGCCCCGGCCTGTCGGGCCTCAGCCGGAGAAACAGGTGACGGGGCTGAAGGGTGGGGTCGCACCCCGACCGTCCCCCAGCCCGGGCGCCCCGGGGGGTCGGGGGGCCGGGGGTCTCCGGGGCGTTTGGGGGAGCTGTGGATGGACGCTTTAGCGGGGCGGGGGGGGGCACGAGGAGACTCGGGGGGCGCGCTGGAGGAGCAGCCCCCGGGGATGACAGGAGCGGGCCTGGGACGGGGCCGGGCGCTGGAAGGAAGTTTCGTTCTTCGGAAAAAGGGGGAGACGCCGGGGAAGAGACGGGGCTCGAGGGGGAGCGCCGTGGGGCGAGGGCACTTTAGGGTGGGGATAGCAGGACTGAGGGACGTCCCCCGACTTCCTGCTCCCCGGGGCTCGGGGGACATTCCGGCCACAGGGGCGACGGTCACTCCAGGGGAGATCTCGGGGGGTGGGGGTTGAAGGGAGTCGCCTCCCCTCCTCCCCGCGGGCCGGGCAGCTCCTGGCTGAGCCACTTCCTGAGCCTGGCCCGATTCCGGCTTCTCCGGAGCCAGCCGTGCCCTTCTGGAGGTAGAGAGAGGTGTCTTCTCGCAGCCTCACCGGCTGTCTGGTTGTGGGTAGGATTATTGCATAAGAAGCAAGTTTCCTGTAGGGAAATTGACAGTCTTGTACTCTTTCTAAATTTCCTCCCGTCTTTTTCCAGGTTAAGCCTCGCTTCCCTCGCCTCTTAAAAAACAAAACCAAAATATGACCCCTATCAAGCCAGTTCTAGAATGATATAAATGAAATAAACCTATTTTTTTCTTCTTGACATTGTTCTTTTACAAACACCTGGTAAACTCGGCCCGTAGATAAATAATTGAGCTTTTGCTTTTACTGGATTGTGGTGTTGCTTAATTGCATAGGGCAGAACGAACCAATCCAGAGTGGGAGTTTTCTGTCTCAGAGCCAAGATCTCGGGTAAATGCAGAGGAGAGGGAAACAAAGACTGGCTGGGCTTGGCAAAGCCATGTGTGCAAACTTTACCTGTGTTTGGGGGTGTGTGGTTGTGCCTAAATGAACAAAATCCAAACCGTCAGCCTACTTGTTTTTTCCGTGCTTAGTACATATCACACTTGTGTTCTATCAAGTGGGTGTGTGGTGTTGACAGATTTTTTTCTTTTTAAAAATATACATAGTGTGTACCTGCTGGTTTGTGTGTGTGCATCTAAAGGATATTCTGTGTATGCTTGTAAATTTAAAATCAGAACAGTAAATTATCTCAGTTTCTATGTGAATTTAGAATGTGGTATGCCTTGATTCAGCCAAAATTCTATTTTCTATTAAATATGTCTGTGTTCCCTGAGCAACACATTTATTTCCTTATTACGTGTGCCAGGCTGGAGTATTAGCAGAATTTTTTTGTCAGACATTTGCATGGTGGATGGGAAAAAGAGTTTGCAACATAGAAAAAAAAATTTGGGGGGGGGTAGATGTTGGAGGATTGATCTGTGTCTCTATATTTGTAGCACATTCACCACAAAGAACCACTAGCAAAGTCATGAATCTTATTTTCACATGAGGAAGAAGAGCTGTTTAAATATCTGCAGCTATGACTTGACCCATAAAGGGTAGATAGTTTATGTAATATTAGTCCCATTTTGCAGATGAGGAAAATTGAGGCCAAAGGAAACAGGTAGTTGCAGAAGGCAGTAGAGGTCCATAGTGGTAGAACTTAAACCTTTTGCTTATTTCGTATTCTTTTGACTGTCTATGCTTAAGTATTAGGTCTTTTTAAAAAAAATTTTTTTTAAAGATTTATTTATTTATACAAGAACTGGGGTACAGTCAGAGGCGCGGGAGGGTAAGAGAATTCATCAGAGAGAGAGCAGGGAGCAGAATAGGCAGACAGATTGAAAGCACTGCTGAGGGGAGCAGCGGGTGAGACAGAGGTATGTTGCGCCATGTGGATAGCTCCCTGGCTGGCCGGGGATCGAACCCATGCTGCAGAGGCTGTGGACAGCTTCACAGTGCAGCGCTCAACCCACTGTGCCACCAGGGATGCCCCTAAGTATTAGATCTTGACTTACAATGAATTTGCCCTCCTGGGAAAGATGTCAGTGAAATTCTAACATTTATCTGGACAGTGAAAGAAGACTAAGACTCTACAGAAGATGTTTGAAAAACAGGTGGAAAACAAGTGTAAGGGTTAGCTTAGGTTGTCTTCCTATCTAGCAGCTGTGTCTAATTTAGGAAGTAATTAACTTTGTATTTGGCAGGGTTTGCCTTCAGAATTTAGCTATCTGCTAATGGAAGGAACTATTTATTTAGGCAAACTTACAGGTGAAGGACAGTTGTGACTTAAATGCATTTAAACCAAAGTGCTTTGTTGCTTTATTAGAACTCATTTATGTCTCCAGAAAGTTGCTTTTTCCTCCCTGCCTGTGTGTTTTCACATTCAGGATGTGGATGGGGCCGAAATAGAGACTATCAATCCAGATGTGAGTCCAAGGCAGGTGGTGTACAAATCAACAAATATTTTGCAACTTGCTCTGAAGAATAAGATGCCTTGTTCGTAGAACTTTCAATCTCCTGAGGACACTTGGTAAATGCTTTGTCCATACATAATGTCCTCAAGAGAATCATGCTAGTGGTGTCCAACAAGGTAGGCTACTATAGATTTAAAAAATACAGCCCAGATATAGAACATCTTTTTTTTTTTTAAAAAAAAGATTTAGTTTTTATTTATGCATACAAGAACTGGGGTGTAGGCCAGAGATGTGGGGGTGAGAAGGTTCACCAGAGACAATGGGAAGCAGAACAGGCAGATCTACTGAAATACACTGCTGAGGGGAACTTTGGGCTAGACAAGGTCTGCTATGCCATGTGGGTTAACTCCCGGGCTGGCCTGGGCTCAAACTCATGCTGCAGTGCCTGCAGATAGCTTAATAGCGCTCACTTTAACCCCTGTGCCACCAGGGAGGCCCCTAGAATGTTTCTTTTATTATGGAAAGTTCTGTTGGACAGAGCTGTACTCACTTGGCGCTATAGGTCTTCAGAGGAAAGAAAGGTTATGAGGCCTGGAGTTGTCTAGGAAGTTTTCTTGCCAAAGGAGAGATTTGATCTGGGCTGGGATTAATGGTTGCGATTTGAATGGAATAAAGAATGTGGGGTGAGGAGGTATATGGGGTGAGAAAGTGATATGGTACCAACTAAACCTGGTAGATTAAGAGGATAATTAGGAGGGGAGTACCTACCTATAAAAGACCTTACTTGAATGCAAGCATAAGGAATTTCAGTTTTGTTCTTTTATAGGAGAAGCTTTTAAAAGCTTTTTGAGGCTGAGTACTGGCATTTAGTCATGTGCTCCTACTGTGTGTGAGCACAGACTTGGATGGGGTAATTTGCCCAGTCAGTCAGTGCATGTGGTCTCCGCTCCGGGACTTGTGATTGAGGCTGCCTTGTAAACTGGGCCAGAACCCAAGGAGATGTGTTCTGATTTGGGTGCTGTGGAGGTGTGTTCTGAATTGATGCATAAGTGTGATTAAGTATATATTAAGTATAGAAGTGTTTCTGGAGTATTTTTAATCAGCTACAAATGATCACTCACATTTTGTCTTCCATATTTAAAAAATTTTACTGTGGCTTTTGGTTCATTCATAAAATACATCAAAAGAGCACTTGAGGGTTATCCCGAAGAACGCCTGGTGTCCTGGAGCAGCCTTGGTGTGGTCTAACTGGATGACATCACTGGGCTGTTTCAGTCTTTGCTGGTTATGGTAAGAAGAGTTACTATTGTGGTTTCAGACTTGTTGCTAGGAACCTTGGCTTAGTATGGTGCACTTTAGTTGGGAGGGCCAGATGGTAATTTGTTGAAAACAGAAATGTTTCCAGTTTTAAAAAGGAATAGCATATGGTAGAATGAATTCTACTATGGTCAGTTCCCATCATGTTAGGATTATTATGACCCTTAGCTCAGATCAGCAAACACTGTATATGGATAGCCAATTATTGTGCTAGGCAGGACCCGTGGATAGTGAAAGATGGCGTCTGTTTTCATAGAATTGGAGGTGATGTTCTAGGTCCCAAGGTGTGTGCAGCGTAGGTATGGACTCAGGGGCAGGGGAGATGATAGGGTAGTGGTTCAAGGCTCAGGCTCTGTGAGATAATGCCAGGGAAATGCTTAGCATAATGCCTGGCATACCTCAGAACTCCTTAAGTCTTAGTTTTTATTAAATGCTCAAGTAAAGAGCGTCATTCTCTTTAAGGATGAGAGGAAGGCTTTATCATGGAAGGACTTTAGCAGATAGGAACACCTGAATAGGGCTTTATAGGATGAGTAGGAATTCTGGCAAAGCTGAGTGGTTATCAGTTGCATTCAAGGCTGAGGGACCATGTGTGTGCAGAGGTTTAAAACTGCATCGTATCTAAAACTTTTTTTTAAAAGATTTATTTATTTATTTATACAAGCACTGGGTATAGTCAGAAGTACAGGAGGGTGAGAGAATTCACCAGAGCCAGAGCAGGGGGCAGAACAGGCAGACTGACGAAATACACTGCTGAGGGGAGCAGCAGGTGCGGCAGGAGAGGTCTGTGCGCTAACCCGGGATCGAACTGGCGCTGCAGAGGCTGCCAGCAGCTTCACAGCCCAGCGCTCAACCGCTGCACCACCAGGGAGGCCCTAAAACTTTTCTTAATTGAGGAGAACTGTGGGGAAAGGAAGGCTGCAGAGCTACAACCCTTAGTCCTTCTATTAATTATTAGGTTCACATGTCATTAAAATAAGTCACTTTGTCCTGCTTATAAAAGTAATAATTGCGGGGCTTCCCTGTTGGCGCAAGGGGTTAAGACGCAACCTGTGAAGCTATCTGCAGCCACTGCAGCACAAGTTCAATCTCCGGCCAGGAAGCTACCCACATGGTGCAACGGACCTCTCCTGACTTGTCTGCTGCTCCCTTCAGCAGTGTATTTCAGTCAGTCTGCCTGTTCTGTTCTCCACTCTGTCTCTGGTGAGTCACCTCCCGCAACCCCTCTCACCCCCCGCACTTCTAGCCTGCACCCTGT